AAATGCTAGAGCAGTTTGGATGGTATTAAGGGGACGATGCAGGTTTATTATGGTAAAGACCATTTTATCAGCAAAAAAGATTTGTACGAAGCAATTGGAAAGTCAGCTGGTCTGGAAGAAAGAAACAGAACTGCTACTCGTACATAGGCAACAAATGTATTGGAATATGATATGAAACGACAGTAGTTTTGTCCCTTTGCAAAAAAGAAGACAGTAGGAAATGTAATATCTATCGAAATTCATTCCTGTTTGGTGTATCAAAGAAACTCTACTCAAACATCGTAGAAGCTAGAATAACAAACATTTTCGATTAACAGAACGATATGGATTAAGAAACTTCAGCTGCACATTGAAACAGAAGTTGCAAATTGGGACTGTCTTCACTTTAAGACAGGTTATAGAGAAGTCCATCAAGAATGAAAAATAGCTCTCTATCTGCTTAGTGCCACTATCTGCTTAGATTATGCTAATATCTACTGACCTTTCAGAAAAGCTCGTTTTCCTTTAAGTTTCCAACAAAAACTTTTTGTAAGTGCACTAAACAGAAGGAGAGCTATATATCTATCTCGATAGACCTCTCTAGAACCTGCTTCAAAGTGAAGATATTCCCAATGTGGAACATCAGTAGCAATCGAAAATAAAGTGGTTTTCACCATTATAAACCTCCTTTACTTTGTCCAGACCATCTGACTTGCCAATTTTTTCGAGCAAATCTTTCTTGTTGGTAAAATGGTCATCACCATAATAAACCTGCATCGTCCCCTTAATATCATCCAAACTGCTCCAGCATTTCACCCCCTTTTCGCAGTATCTTGAAATATTCTGTTCATCTGTCTAATATATATTTGTTTAGCCACATAATGGATACTGATCCTTGTTTTATTATTCTCTAATTATCCAGCTTTAATAAAAGACCAACTATGACGAAATCAAACCAAATGCTGATTCTCTGTGACCAAAAAAATAACTAAAGTCAAAGTCGTCAGTCCGCTATGTTTGAACGCCATTTTGGGGCAGTGTGTTCCTTTTTTTGTGGACACATTTTTTTTTTTTAATAAATAGTTATAGTAGTAGTAGTTATAAATAGTTAAGGAGCACAACGATATGCAATTTATGGGGAGTTTGGGGGAGCGGGTGCACGGTAGGGGGGTCTGGCCCACAGACTATTAGTTTACACAGGCCATTGCAAATTCCTGATTTTCCTTAAATGTAAATATCCCTTGTTTATATTTTTATAAACCATCTTCAAATATTTTTTTAAATAGTCAAGTGGGGAATAAGTTTATTTTAAAAAAGTGGAAACTTCACAATTTACTGGTAGAGAAAAATCAATCTTTGACTGTTGTGTATATATGTCAGTTTTGTTTCCCCTTTTTCTTAACAAACTTATTATTTTCGCAATACTTTTTCTTAATTTTTGTAAGTAGTAGACTTATATCTTTCTAACTTTTGTCAAAACGATTTTCAGGCACTACGAAGTACTGCTTGTATCTCCTTGTTTCTCTCCAATGCTATAAAAGATAATGGCTAAATAAGCATTTTTAATGAAACACATTATTATAAATGGACAATGTACCAGATCAACACTGCCTGTTATTTCAACGTCAACTGAGCTAAAATGCGTTAGTATGATTGAACGTGTAAGGGCCATCATGATTGAAGCAATCCTTGTCAGTCACATGACTGTCATACATGAATTATCGTGTAGGGTCCGCTTTAGCTTTTATTTCAGTAGTTAAATGGGTTTCAGCGAGGTATTTTATATCGTACTGGCCCATGTATTCATCGTGTTGTATTAATTGTTTATAGACATTAATGCTCCAAAATAAAATACCTCATCTATTTGTCCTGATGATTCATTTTTATGCGCTCTAGTTTTGATCTGAATATCTTCTTTCTCGAAAAGGAAATTGATCTTGCTTTTCTATCAGTTTTTTTCTTTGGGTTACCTGATCTGCTGAAGACGCTGGTGATAGTTTACTGTCTTCAAGTGTTTCCAGAAGATATCCGATCTCAAATATGTAAAAATTGTTCCCTTTCATTGTAAAAAAACTTGTTTTTATAAGTAACAGTACTGTCGAAGCTTCGCAATCTGTTAAGATGTAAATATATTTGTTTTCCCTCCTCTCTTTCCTCAGGTTATTTGTCATGTGCTTTAGGATTTTTTTTTCCTCCTGAATAAGAAGAAGCATTATTTTTTGCTTCATTAAATAAATGTTAAGAGAAATTAGGATAGACCTGGGTTTGTTATATCTATTTTTTTCCAATATGTAGCAGTTGTTTCTCAAATCATCTGATAGACTTATGTCCATACCACATAATATTGTTTTCACTTTATCAACTACATTTTCTAAATTGTTATCTTCTTTTTCAGGTTTATTAAATAATATTATATTATTTTTTCTGACTCTTTTCTTTATATTCTTTATCCTTTCTTCCAATTTGGAGTTAATCTTTTCGAGTTCATCAATTTTGTTGTTTACATATTTAAGTTCCGATGTAATATTTTCCAGTAAGGTGTTCATTTTTCCTACCGTTTCTTTAATACTTTTAGTTCCATCGCTATTTCTGCGGATTTTCATTATTATTGTCTGCAGTGTCACAGTTTTCTCATTTATTGGATTCATAGTATTATTTATGTTACCATTAATTTTTTAAATCAGTATTGGTGAATTACAATCAGGGAAATATACATAAGACAACAATGAGTTGGCTGTAGATAGATAACTTTTCCGTGACGTACATAGCCTGTCTGCTTGCACTGTTAATATTCCTGTTTCAAGCAAGGGGCACCCTTGCCTTTGTACTGATAATTTGAAAAAGATCATTTATTATTCACACCATTCTTTGTTTCTAATCAAAGGCAGCATTGATACACAACTATACCGAATATATTGATCCAATAATCAGTTTAAACTACTCAGATTAAATAAAAACACAGAGATGATCTGCACTACACCGTAGCTATCGATTAACTGATAAAAGTATATGAAACAGTAATTTATACTACTAACATGGTCCTTCCACTTCTCGAGGGCTTTCTTAATGATTGAAAATAGGTTGCGGTAACACATGTTTTATAATTTTATATATTTATTCTGATATGCAAGTTAAAAATGCTATTAATAAATCCGCCCTGATTAAAATGGCTAGCAAGAGACATTTCTGTTACTGTTATTTTTAATTTTTTATTAATATATCTTATTACCGTAAACTTTTATTATTAGAAAGTAATCACAATGTATATATATATTTACAACTTTTCTTTAATCGACCTTTGAGTATTAAATTTAAACATAACTATGTTTAATTCCTATTGATAAATAGGAATCACTTAAACACCATTTCATATAGGTAGTTAGTTTCTTTATGTATTTCCAAAGTAATTATCGTTATTTTTATGAAAAAGAAGCTTTCGGGCTGAAGCCCCCACAAAATTAAATCCTGGATCCGCTAGTGATATGAAATAAAAGTAGCAATTGTAGATACAATGCGTGAGCGCGCATATGTGGCCTCCTTGCCTGTTAGCGGGCATGTAAACTACTACGGCCGTTAAAAGGAGAAAATATTTTAAACTGATGGCATCAAAAGATAAGATAATAAGAATTTGTAAAGAACATTTTCAGGATCTTCTCAATCAAGAGAATAAATATGAACCGCACTGAGGACCTCGAACCACAAGAGAATATTCTGGATGAGGAAAAAGCTACAGGCATAAAAGAAAGCCCCAGGTATGGATAGCCATCCTTCAGAGCTGTTTGAAATGGACACCTACGAGATAAGCTATACAATTGACCTAGAAAATATGGGAGAAAGAAAGGCTACAAGAAGCTCAGTAATTACAGAAGTAAAGCACTCCATGCAGTTGCCGTATCTATGAAGTATGAAAATATAATTCGTGACCACTAAGCAAGATACAGACAGAAGAGGAAGGGTTTATAACAGGTGTTGAAAAATTATAGGAAGATACTCAGGAAGAAACACCTTAATTATCACTTTTAAAGCAGTTTATGATTCTGTGGAGAGAATCTGACTTTGGAAGAGTATGACTGAGCCAATAGTTACCGGGATGTAGGTGATATTGGTGAAGGGGGGTACATATTATCCTAAATGCCGAGTCCTGATAAAAGGAGAATTATCTGAAAACTTCGAAGGTTGAAGCAATGAGATGAACTCCCGCCGATGCTGTTCAACTTTGCCGCGGAAAATATGATAAGAAAATCACATAAAAAAGGAGGGATGAACATGAGGAGTGATGAATTATAAAATCCTAGGTTATGTTGCTATATATTATTATCTCTGAATATAAATGAAAATATAAATAATAAGAATATTCGCTGTAAAATACTTATATATTTACTTCAAGATCTTAGCCTAGTCAGCTAGTCAACTTTTCCTATTTTCTTAGTCGAATTTACTTTATATATTTTATTCATTCATGTAGATTATTTGTTATTGACCTCGTCCGCTCCCCCCCCCCCTTCTGCGCCTAACCTAACATCGTGACATTACAAAACTGGAGGCGATCTCAGCTTATACTGCAACAGACTTCAACTTAATTAAAGGTAGGCAATCAGCAGTGGGAGGCTGATAAAAAAAATATGAATAATCCATCATTTAATCATAAACAGATCTTTGCATTGTTTTACCAATTGAAAGACCCCCCCCCCCCCCTTTATGTCATATATAAAATATACTCTACTTTTTTTACAAAGGAAAGTTGTCTAAGTTACCCTGCAGTATGAATAGTTATCACTTCTTATTGAACATAGAACATGTCGACGTTAAAACAACACAAAATTTAAATTTACTATTTCTCTATTCAGTATTAGATTATAGCCCAAATAAACGTTCAATTACGTTTGAATTATATATTTATTTACTTAAATAAATACAGAATAATGTATGGACATACATCATACATTCATTTATATTTCGATAGCTATAATGTAATTAGGTGGGAGGTGACTAAATCTGTCAACTACACGTAAACAATCGATTTAAGCTGGTCTTCAGGGAGGCTTTCAAATAAGCTAGATTTGCACTGCTAGAAAAATGGTTTTGTACTGATAACAAGTTGACAGAATATTTTTACTTCTTATCTAAGTACGGTTTATATCACCTTAAAGCCGAAGAGTAAGCAGATTATATGGAAGATAAATACAAGATGTCTACGAGAAGTGAAAAAGATAGAAGCAAGCAAATTCAAGACAAATGTCAAAGTCTCTTAACTCAGATGCTGAGAGATGAAGATAATAAATATTGTGTTGACTGCGATGCTAAAGGTTAGTCTATACAAATATTTTAGAGTTTTTTTTAATTTTTTTATTTAAGATCTTAATTTAAAAGATAATAGTGGATACTAGGTGTCCAGTATTTCTGTTCTTAGATTCCGTTATTGTTCTGTAATTTTTAGATTAATTGTTATTATCATTCACTAACATGCTGAATGTATATGTGATGGGAATTCGAGGATAAGAACTATCTTTAATATTGCTGTCCCATCTATTTTAATTAAATCAATCTTATCAATTCCTTTGTGAAGTACAGTTTATGAAATCTTTGCAAGGGCAAATCTGCTCTTATATTGCAAGGTTTTTATTTTGTTTTATGATAACTTTCCTCCTGTGTTGTATTTTTCAAAATATTAGGCTTAATATACTTTATTGTTTTTTCACTATAATATTAACGGGTTCCTGTATTTTTATATATTTTGTTTCAAGCTAACTCAGTTCTTACAGCAAAATTTCAGCTTAATTCACAGTATATTTTAGAGGTATTCAACTTTATAATTGCAAATAATAAAAAAAAGTATTGAGATATCTAATGTGTATTTCGATCCTACTTTACAAGTTGTCCCCTGGCTAAGGCTGGTTTCATTTGAGGCAGTTATTGGATTCAATTCAGTTGCTCTGTCGTCTATCTTCTGATCCTGATTACCTGAATTCTTTGTGGGTATATAGAGGAGATTATTGGAATCATTTTCACACCCTTTTCTTTAAAAGATTACACTATTCGGTATAATGACAGAAGGAGGTGCACTTATCTCTTGGTACTACTATAAGTATTGCTCCACTTTGATGGGTAGGCCAAAGATCTCATGATCAAATTATAAATTGAAATCTGTGAATGGCCAAGTGTGTCCGAAAGTTAATGATGATGAAGACCAAACCGTCTGGTAAGGCCCTAAAATACCGAACTTAAATAGACCCATTGAAAGTTTGTTTATTCTTTTTGAGTGCCTAGAAGTCAAAGGAAGTTAGTTAATTTAGGCCCCGATTTTAAATGACGACCACCAGTTGAGAGTTTGTGGAGGTCATAAATTAGGAATTATCTAAAAGGAAGTTAATCTCAGAGACGCCTCAATCTTCATAATTCCATTTATAGTGTGATTATGAGATCTTGTGCCCATCCATACAAGTAGAGCAACAATTATGAATTAATATCTTTTACTTTTGTAATTATATTTCATAAGTAACTTTTGTTTTCCTAACATGTTAATCCAAATATTAATATCATTGATAATAAAATAAAACATTTTAAATATTTATTATATTCATTTAGAAGTAAATTGTGAACACTTCCTTTTATTTTTGTTTAATTTTATTCTTTTACATCTTCAACGTTTATTACATAATTTAAGTTAATTCCAATAATAGAACATAATCAATTGAATTGTTAAGTAATCATTTTATTTAATTAAGTTAGTAATTCATTCTATTAACCTTCATATGAAGTGGGAGGGACTCATTTAGTTGCTTCTTAATTTTACACCCCTCATATATAGATATATTGGTCAAATTTATCTTGTACACTGTTAATATTAGAAGAGCTTAAGCCATGATGACTGAGAAAGTTAATAAATCATAACTATAGCAACCTTGAGTCTAGCAGAGCCAGTTCAAATTTGGCTTTCGCGGACTGATATTTGTTTTGTGGCAGACCCATGGAATGAATCTCTCCCTTCTCACTCCGGTTAGAATAAGTTGTTTATACCTGGTAAGTAAGCTGTGCTCAATAATTTGTATTTGAGACCACTCTATAGAATACTTACGAGTATAAGACATTTACTAGCAATAATTACAAAGCTAGAAATTCATTTTAAATAGTAGTAAATAAAATTAGAAAACTAATAGAAGGTTAAAACAGTAAATACCAGCTTAATAATGCAACAACAAAGGTTATATAAAATAATCAAGATTTAAGGAAAATAATAAACAAAATTTATAAATTCCATGTATTCTCTTTGACTTATTTAATAGAAAAGTTAAAAAATATGTTTAACTTTGTATAGTAATTGTTACTAAAATTCTAACATATTATCTGATCTCTGTCTGTTTGTTAATGTGATCTATTCTTATTCAATTAAGACACAGGTTTTTTTAAGAAAGAGGAGAAATAGGAAGTTAAGTTTGAAAGATGGAATAGGTGGGAGGGGCTAATAACAGCTGATACTCATACCGTACAAGATTACTTTGTGATTGAGATTGATGTAATCTTGACCTACCTGTTAACCAGACATGTCACTTGTGAGCTAGTACCTACAGTTTTAGTAAATAAGAAATTTCTCACAAAAGTTTTGTTTTTTAAATCATGATAATCATTTTAATTCAAGTAAATTGTTAAGTTTTTTTGGGTAATGGTTTAACCGCATTTAAAGAATAAGTTTTTTTTTCATTACATGCCATGGCCCACAGAACTTAGTGGAGATCTCAATGTGGCCCAGAGGACTTAGTGGAGATCTCAGCGTTTCCTGTTGGGCAAAAAGTTGGAAAACCCCCTAGTCTAAACTAACCCATATGACTGCTTTCACTCGCGTTTTTCTCTTCATTGAACAAGAAACGCAGTTATGTGCTGCAAGTCCTCTTTATTAGGCTTGAAACTCTGTTTACCACATGAAAATAAAATATGAGGTAACCAATTCTTTTTACAGTATCGTCTCTTAGAAAAATAAGGAGCTCATAATCTGAAAAAAAAAATAAGAGAATTTAGAATTTTGATCTCCCCCTCCCTCTGGTTTGGCTCTTTACTTAAAATGGGACAAATTTGGATACTATGATCTGACTTCAGTTAACAGATTAAAACCATTTCAGCTTTCCTAGAGTTACTTCCAGCCACAGTGGTTTCAGGGAAAAGATTAAGCCAAACAGCCCAATATTTTTGTAGGCCACTACATTATTTAATCTCAAAATAACTCAGTTATTATCTGTGCTTCTTGAGCAACGAATATTAATCAATAAATAAAGTATATTTCGTGAAATTGACATTTTTATTGACACTTTGCAGGCCACTATGACCATTTAATTGTACATCTTTATTAACCAGTAACGTCAGCTGGATGTTCATAAATTTTCATTACTTTCTTATTTCGACATGGTGGGGGTAGAAATCCTTGATTTTAGCACCTTATTAAATTGACATGTTTACCGATCTCCACACTAAAAAATGCCCCAATTCCAAGAGTCTTTGTATAGAAAAGTTATGGGTTACTCTACCATAGACTACTACTTGGCATTAACTCTTGGCCACAACAATTACAATAACTTTTATTATTAATTACAGAAAAAATGGTTTTCCAATTATGAAAATTTTTATCAATTGAATAGAAAATTCTATTAGAGAAAAACTCATAAGAAAATTATTGTTTGGGGATTAAACTTTATTGTTTCACCATTGTCCTCTCCTCCTATTTAATTTTTTTTTTTTTTTTTTGTTTAATATGATTTATTGATTATGAATAATAATTGATTTTAAAGATACAAGATGGATTAGTTATGATTCTCAACAGGTAGGGGGTAGAGTAGGTAATCAACATAATCTCAAAATAGCGAGCCTCGAAAGGACTGATACTCGTGCTCTATGCTGAGAGGCAATAAGATAAAGAAAAAAGAAAATGCTCATAAAAAAACTATTGTTTATATTAAGTTGAGATAAAGCTTTATTGCTAAAAAATGTATTACACTCCTCTTATTTAAATTTATTTTTAGTTTTGTTTATGAATAATAATTGATTTTAAGGTCCAAGATGGGCTAGTTGGAATTTGGGTATATTCTTGTGTATCAGGTGTGCTGGGATTCATAGAAATCTTGGAGTTCACATCTCTAAAGTCAAATCTGTCAACTTGGATGCATGGACACCAGAACAAGTGGTAGTGAGTATTTTTTTTCTGTTACAATTTTCCTTAATCTTTAGTATTAAGAAATATTTTCACAATATAAATTCAATTTTTTTTTTTTTTTTTTTTTTTTAGAGCCTTCAACAGATGGGAAATTCAAGAGCACGGGCTGTTTATGAAGCAAATCTGCCTGATAGCTTTAGGAGACCACAGACTGACTCTGCTCTCGAATCATTTATTAGGGCAAAATACGAAACAAAAAAATATATAGCTCAGGAGTGGGTTCCGCCACCTCTACCAAAAGTAATAATCATGTTGTAAATTTGATCTTAATATTTTCTTTTAATTACAGTGAGATAAATAAATCTTGGCTAATATAAGACTTTTATGTAATGTAAAATCTCATAAAAAACAATTTTTGAAACAATTCATGTTGCTCAAATGATTGATCTTCGCGTTCATTATAAAACTAACAGTATAGATCCAAAATGATGAATATTCTTGATAAAACTTAGAACTTTTTAAAATATTTATTTATTAAGCAAAAATACATTTTGCCTCAATTAAGGGCATTAGTATTTGAGATGGAAGAGACTCATTCATAATATATATACTATAACAAAAAAAATATATATATAGAAAAATTATATCAAAAGAAGAGAAAACAGAAGAAATAAAACATGACACAACATTATATAAAAACACATTCATACTTATTTACAGTCAGCCGAGGGAGCTCCAAGTCGGGCCCTTTCCTCTACGTGTGGAGAATAAGGCAAGACTCTAAGAGATCCCAACGCTCTCTCTCAGCCGTTTCATTGTGGTAGGTATCCAGTGGAGACAGAGAGGGCACTAAAGCCACATTCGCTCATGACTTGAGTGGAGATGCTGGCCATTGCGAACACTCCAATGACGTTTTTACCAAAGATCTCGAGGCCAATGCCGTTTCAACCTTCAAGGAGGATTGTAGGGATGACTGGAATTGGATAAGGATTGTGCTAAGGTATTAAGATGATTTATTAGGTTCTGATGAAAATTTAAGAATTGAGATGGAATAACGTCAAGGATATAAGGGATGTTAAGGTTATGAAGTAGAATTTTGTTTGTAACATAATAAGGAGCATTGACTATTGTGTGAAGGATTTTAGATTGGATGAGTTTGATGTTCGATAGTTTAGCTATCCCCCATATTTCGAGACCATAGGTCCAGATGGGTTTTAGTATGGTCTTATAAATTAATTATTTGTTTTCTATTGAAAGATTAGAGTTTCTGTTAAGTAATCTGTATAATTGGCCAAATCGTCGGTTAAGTTCTTGTCTCAAGTCTAGTATGGGGGGTTCCATGTTAGTCTTTTGTCTAATAGGAATCCAAGATACCGAACTGTGTCTGAAATGGGAGGAGGTACAGAGTTGAAAAGGATAGGTGGACAGGATGTGCGTCAGAGGGTAAAGATGACATGCTTGCACTTCGATTCGTTTATTCGGACGCGCCAATAGTTGCACCACTGCTCAAGTAGGGAGATGTGTCTTTATAGGTTTAGAGATGCTGTTTCAGGGTCTGGGTGGGATGACAGGGTGGCGGTATTGTCAGCGAATGTTTCTAGAAGGGTATCAGGATTTGATGGAATGTCAACGGTGAAGAGGATGTAGAGAACTGGGCCCAAGACACTGCCTTGTGGAACACCAACTTCAACTGGATAATGATTGGAGAATTCAGTGTCGCAGCAGACTTGAAAGGAACAGTTGGAGAGATAGGATTTGAGAACTAGGTACAAGGATTGGGGTCAATGGGTTTTGAGCTTGAAAAGCAAGCCATCGAAAGCTTGTGCTACGTCCAGAAAGGCACCAGCGCAATATTGCTTGTTTTCAAGCTCAGAGGATATATGGTCAACAATTCTAAGGCCTTGTTGAACAGTGGAATCCAAACTGGTGGGAAGAGATATTATGGGAATCGGGTATGGGTAGGAGTTTTGAGAGGATTGAGAATAAGCTTATTGGTCTATAGGATGAGGTATTATTAACAGGTTTACCTGGTTTTGGGAAGAGGATGATTATGGAGTGTTTCCACACCAGAGGAAAATGAGTTCTGCGGAGGATACAATTGTATAAGTATGTGAGGAATATGATTGCTTTTTTGGGAAGTTTTATAACGATCTGGGAAGTAAGGAGATTGTGTCCAGGAGATTTTTGAGGTTTTAGGTTGGTTATAAGGAATTTTACCTCAGATGGCTTTAGCAGACAAGGAGAGAGGAATTCTTTCAATTCAGCAGTGTGGGTGGGATGGAGTTCAGGGTGAGGAGTGAATGTATTGGATTGGTGTTTGGCAAATTCTTCAGCTCTAGTTCCATCATCGCATCGGAGGAGATGGGAAATAGAGTGATATTTAAGATTTTTTTTGGTCACTTTGCAGAGAGAATGGCCATCGGTAGAGAGGGAAGAAAGGTAGAAGTCTGCCCTGGCCCTCCAACCTTCATAATTTTTTTTTTTTTTAAACTTTTATTATGATATTTACAACTGTATTAGTATGAATACATCAAGTAAATTTGTACAGAGAAATATTATTACATGAAACACGCTTGTTGAGAAACTACCCACTGGTAGCACTCTAATAATTTGTCTACATGAGAAGATCACGAGGCCATCTTCTTTTCAGACGCCTCAGAGGGTTATCAGGAATCGAAGAGGAAGCAAGGTTAGAAACAAGAGGATTCGGATGGTTATGAAGTTTATTATGGAAGGATAGGTATCTGGATTTGGCCAAATCGGAAACATATGCAACATTGAGGTCTTTATGGATTATTTTATTATTGACAAAGTAAGGAGCATTGAGGATTTTACGAAGGATTTTGGATTGTAAGGATTGTATGCGAGAGGAATTCGATGGTTTAGTTCATAAATTTTAAATTCTTTTCATTAATTTGGAGTCCCATATTTTTACTATCATTGTTCACAGTATTGAACGACTCTTTGAGAGTTCGGGTATTCCGGACTACTAGACAGATATCTGCATAACTGCTTACTAGTTTATGTAAGACTAGATTGAACAGTGTGGCAGAAAGAGTGTCCCCTTGCCGTCACCAGTCCCAATAGAGAATTTATTACTGAGGTTACCTTCAACCAGTACCTTACCCTCACTATTTTTAATTAATCTAATTAACTGGTTGGGAATCTGATATTCTTGTAATGCCTCAATCATACTCATTCTATTGACACTGTCTAAGGCTTGATGATAATCAATAAACAGTATCTGATCAGTTGTACCCCTTCCTGTACGGAAACCACATTGATAGTCACACAGTATGTTTTCAGTGTAAATGCTTAATTTCTTTAACAATATATTTGAGAATATCTTGTACTCCACCCCTAGTTGTGTGATACCGCGATAATTTTCGCACTGCAGTTTATCACCTTTTTTATATATGGGACATATCAGACTGCTACTCCATTCATTAGGCATTCTCTCTTCCTCCCAGTTATCAAAGATTAGAGAATATAATTGATTTACTAAATCTTCACCAGGCGCTTTGTTGTTCTTAAGCTTTTCAATCGATTCTAAGAAGTTTTCCATATCTGGTGGCTCTAAATCATTCTCATTATTTCTTGGAAAAGAATGTAAACTTGAATTGGGATTTGAGTCAGCTCTTTGATTCATATTATTCCTAGAACTTATTAGCTCACTGAAGTATTCCACCCATCTGTCTATCACCTTCCCCTTTTCTTTCAATAACATTTTCATTTTTGTCTTTAGCTGGAAGCCTCGATTAATGTATTTAAGCGCTTCATAAAATTTCCTTGTTTCATTATCGGTCTTTAGTTCCTCAATCTGTTCTATCTACTTTTTCAAATATTATTTTTCTTTGCAATATCTGTTTTGCTCTTCAATGATTCACAATATAGTTCGATGAATTCTGTCTTGTGGAGTGTTGCTTCATTATCAATCTATGCTCGTTTCTTAACTTGAGTGCCTCTCTACATTTCTCATCCAACCATCCCTTATTTCTAACCTTCACTTTTTCACCAATTATTTCATCCACAGCTCCCTCTATGACCTTTTTGATCCTGCTACAATTCTCCTCTGTCCTCATTTTCTCATCAGCGCTTCCATCCAGTTCAAGTTCTTCCTTAATTTTATCATCATTTACGCTTTTGTATTGTATCATTTACTTAGGATCTTTAAATTTTTGCAAGTCCCAGGCTTTCTGTTTGTAAAGCTTTCCCAATTTTACATTAGCTATGCATTATCTGAATTTAATCTTCATTAGATTATGATCAGAGTTGCAAATGGACCCTCGAGCTGCACTGAGATTAATGATCGAAGAGGAATATCGCTTATATATAAGAATTACAATGTTTCGACCTATATATATTATAACATAAGATATGAATTATAGTCGGATAATATGTCATAAAATACACTTATATGACTTAAAACAACTTCTGTTTATTCCTTTTATTCAAAAACATTTCAATCCCTGTTTTTTAAAATAAATAATGGGATCCTCTTCAGTTCTGGAAAAACAATACCTGTCATTGGTATAACAATCAATGACCCAGTCCTTACATATAAAATTACAATAATGTACAAGAACATGATCAATTCGGGCCAAGGAGCTATTGGGTGCCTTCCAAGTTCCAAGTTATTTGCTTCAGCAAACTGACATAAATGCTTACCATTATCATTTGTTTCCTCATGAAGGAAATGGACTCCAGCAACATTATCAAGATTTCCGTCCTCTAGTATGGTTGCTTTCACCTCAGCTAAGAGCCCAAAGTTTTATATCGGAGGTAACTTCTCCTAGCATTCGTGATCCTCTCCTAAACAGTACAAGGAGTACGGGGCAGGGCATATTTGATGGCGGCACTTACTCGCCATATTGCAGTGACGTCATTGGGTTTATGTTTTCCTTAATGTTCCCCTCATAAGAGCATTCCCCCACACCCTGATATCACTGCCGCCTCGGTCTGGGACTGCTTATTTGGGAAAAAAAACTTCATTCACAGCCATACCTGGTGGGCTTCATTATCCACCACCTGTGACCAGCCCAGTAGCTGAGGCTCGCCCTGGGCTGCTGGAGTGTATCTTCTTAATCAATTCCTCTTCTACCGTAGATCAGTGTAGAGGATCGTGTTTATAGAGTCTAATCTATTTATCTCGCTCTTGCACCAACTAACTGTCTATTCCAGTTTATTCCTCTCCTTTCGAAATCCTCCCTGACTGAACCTTCCCAGGTCTCTGGGTATTCGTCTTGGCTTTCTTCCTTCCGCTTTTACTTCATATATAGTTTTCAGAAGAAGATTTAATAGGATAGGAGGAAATAGAAGATACAATTGACAGCCTGAAAATGGGCAAAGCTTCAGGAATAGACAGTATTACCCCTGAAATGCTGAAGAATATGAGAACAAAAGGGCAGAAAACATTTCAGCATCTACTGAATTTGGTATGGAAAAAGAAAGAAGTTCCCTAAGATTGGGAAATTTTAGTCATAATACCAATACACGAAAATCTGGTGTGCGCATCATATGACTTTCACTTACCACCCTCTTTTAACCAGGAATAAGTATTTTCAGACAAAGGGGAAGTGAAAGTAAAAATTACAGATGCTATATATATTATTATCTTGTTCATGTTTATTATATTATTATCATTATCATGTTTCGGCACTTTGATTTGCATTTACATGGCTCAACTAATGTGTGGGATAGGGTTCCTTTCGTTTTCTTTTTTTTTTTTTTTTTCTCCAAAATTATAGCACGTAAGATTTCTGTGCGAATCAGTCACTTCAGAGAAATTAGTACCTTCGAGCTCGAGATAAATTTGTATTTTCAATTAAAATACTAGTTATTAAGAAAACTTATGGAAAATTAAAATTTATTTTTTTTGCATACTTGCAGATTTTTGCATATTTAATCGTAGTCACCGCCTAGACTAATACTAATCTACAATAAGGGAAACTCAAGTGAGTGTCAGAACTATAGGCATATATGTCTTTCCTCGATGGTCTATAAGCTTTACACCTCTATTATGGAAAGAAAACCCGGATCAATTGTTGGGGCAAATTGGAGGAGGAGCAAGCAGCATTTAGACATCACATCTTGCTGAGGACAATTATACAAGTCATGCGGCAGAGGGAAGAACTTAGTACCTCTTGCATAAATGCAGTGTTTAACTCCATTCTCAGACAAGAAATATGGGCAGCTTTAGTCACTAAAAATGTCTACTGAATTAATAAGTGTCATAAAAACTACATATTACGACTCTAAAGCCATAATTAAAATTAAGGGGAGAAAGTCTGAGACCTTCAACATGAGAAAGAGTGTTAAACAGGGTTTCAGTCTTCACCCTCTTCTTTTTATAATATTTATGAATAAGATATTGAAAATATGCAAGCAAAGGATGACACTGGCGGTCAAGTAACATGAGGACAATTCCTGGTGTTTTTAGAGTTTCTCACCTACTTATATTATTGTCATTGGGAATCACGATATCAATTATCTTTGCTTTCTTTCCTTCAAAATCTATAATATATTATTACTATTACTATCATTATTATTTTTTTATTTTTCTCGCATTAGTGGATTAAGTAAATGAGGTGGGGGACAAGTCCAGTCACCATCTTATTATTTTTTCAAATATTTAAAAAAATTTTCACAATTTGTGTTGTGTTTAAGAGAATGGACTGTTGAACCTTATCAGCTAATCTAGAGGCAATTTTAAATCATCTGTGCTTGCTACTATTGACTTTGGTATCATCCCAACTACAAATCCTCCTCTCTCCGAAAATAATTTACCAATTTTTCACCATTTGACTGATCTTTCCTTGTCATTGGAGGTATCATTCAATTGGCTGTAGAATCTCCCATACAAAAACTCGTACTTGTAATACATTTTATTTGAAATTTTATTTTGTTAGAGGTATAATTTTCTTAACTAACATATTTTCCACCTATCTTTGTTTATAGTATTGCTTGTTTTTATTATCTAATATTGCTGCCTACTTGTAAACTTCCCATTGATTGGAGTATTTTTCGTCTGCAGGTTAATTGGGACAAGGAGTTGGATGAAGAAGCCGAGCGAGCTCGAAAGAAAAAAAGAGAAATTAAAAATACAGTAAGTCAATAAATATTAGTAGTATACTATTTTTATCAATTAACTTATGAGGAAAATATAATAATGTTGGAAACATCTTCTTTGCTTACTATTACATTATATGATAATATGAATACATTCTGCTTTGGTCAGATTATATGATAGCAATAATCTAAAGTTGTTTTTATATTACCAAGACATATGAGTTTTCTATTTTTTTCTTTTGTTATTTTTCATAAAAAATATATTTTTGTTTTCATAAATGATTGTTGAGTGCTCAATGTATTATACATTTGTCATTCGTTTTCATTGGTTAAAGCCACTTCCATGTTGATTATCATACAGAGGAAATTTTTCTTTTAATCTCTCAGCTCCGTTTTCTAATATGTAAGAAACCATTTCATATTCTTAGATAAGTCTTTATTACAGCTGTAAGTAATCAAGTCCAAAGCATGCATCACTTTTCATGGTGGGTTTTTTAACCTTATTAGTCCATGCATCACCAAGTGGGATTGATCACACACTGTCAAGATTTATTTCCCGGGACTTCTGAGAAATAAATGTTAACTGACTCAGGTAGGAATCAAACCCACAACGTTCAGAACCGCACTTAGACTCCAGAACCCTTGCCCTAATGTGCTCAGCCATTACGTCCTATTCAAATAAAAAGTATTCAAGTAATCAATTTCCCAGAATTCACACAAAACTCCTGGGTTACCTTTATGTATTACATACTTACTGGATTCAAGATATTACTTTGAGAAGTGTTCATTTAACAAAGGGTGATATTTGTTCTGATCCATTCTTTCTTGGTGTCCGTTGAGAGCAATTACAAATATTTTATAGTATTAATCCTGTAGCAAATTTAGTTCTCTACGAGATTGGTTGTCATGCAATTCGGACTAAACTGCATTTGAAATTGGTGTTTTTGTTTTTTTAATGCTCTTGTTCCTTAGTAGATGTTATGAATTTCCCATCATATTACAAATAAAACTTACAGATTCTTTAATGCTCTTTAAAAACAGTATTGCCATATTTTTGCTTAAAATGCACTGAAAGCTAGTTACTGAAGAAAAATTAAAAAAGTACTGTTTTCTCAGTACTTTTTCAAGATGGCAGACAAGAGGTGGGGGGGTCAAACACTTCTGTGGAGTATTATGAAGAAATCAATAAGTACAATATAGACTCGATCTAAGATAAGTTTGAGGGTGGGTAGAGGGAGAGAGAGATGCGCAGTGGCAAAATATTTTCCTGCCTATCCTCCACTCTTATGTCTTCTCTACTCATTCATAAGTACTTCTAAATTTTTGTTTACGAGGAGCAATTTCTTTTATCATTTTTTTTTTTTCCATTTCTTTTATCAATTTTCGTTTATTGTGTCAAGTAAACTGGGTAGGGGGAAAACTGTCTACTCCCAGACAAAAAATGTAATTTTGAGCGTAATAAATTCATGAAAACAGAGGCTGGGAGTATATTTTTTTTCTTAATTTGATTATTTGATCATTCTTGCCATTTTTTTATTTTATTTTAAAATTAAAATCCCTACCTTTAATAAACATTTGTGCGAAATTTGAAGAAAATAGAATAACACTTTCCCGGTATGGTTGCTATGGTGAAGAAGGGAGAGAGGTGTTAGGGAGGTGGAACTTGAGTGAGGAAACTGTGCAAGCTTCCTTCCCCTACATTCAAACTTAACTTAAATGAACTTTACCTTGGTCCATTAAATTTTTCACTGTTAATTCATGTGGAACCCAAGTATCGAGCCTCTTTTGGTATCCAGCCTTATATAAATGGTTTAAAACTGTATTCTGATAGATGTTTAGTTCCGTAGCGATGTCACAAGATGGAATATGTCAGTCTATCTCGATTTTTTAAGAATTTCATCGACTTTTACAACCACTGGCCCTGCCAGAGCCAGGTTCATCTTTAACATCAAAATTTCTGGAACAAAAACAAGCAAACCAATTCTAACACTGGTTTTCGCTTAAATACTCAACACCATAAACATCATACAATTTTTGATGGGCCTGTGCTGCATTTTTCCCTTTTCAGAAGTCAAAAAGCAAAATATGATGAAAATTGCTTTCTGGAATCTTAATTTTAAAGTGTGATAACAATTGTCTGAGTAAATCAATGATGATTTTTTTTATATATGGAGGGTTCTGTGGACAGTGAGTTCTTTCAAGCAGACTATAGAATGGCTTCATTGAATAAGGATTACAAGAGATAAGAGACATTAAAATAACCTATTGGGAAAAACTGAAATTACTTTTTCCTCAACCCAAAATATAAATATATACACGGAGTGTATCAGTTCTTTATGGCCTAACTATGGGAGATGATTCTAGACACAATTTCCAACAAAAAAAATTCATTTGATGTGTAGGCTAATTTCGAACAGAAAAGGAGTTAAGTCTTTTCTTAAGGTGGTGGCGTTTTCTTTTTCATAGTTAGCGATAATACAAAAATTATTTAATTCAAGAAATAAAAAATTGTTTCATAATAAACTAGACAAAATCTCCTTCAAATACAATTAGAGTTTGTCTATGTCAAAACCATTTGAAGAGGACTCTTGAGAGGCCAAACTATGCTAAGTTGTGGTGTTGTTCATTAAAACTTGGATATTTTTTTATCATCATACAGATACCCCACTTTTATAAAAACTTCCTTGTTTGATAAGCTTTAATTATATATCAATTTATTTGAGAATAGAGCTGAAATTCACCTCCATATTTTCTGCAAAAATAACAACCGATAAATTATTACAAAGTTTTAATTCCTTCATTTTCTTGTGACCTGATGTCTATTTTAGTAAATTAATTATAAAAATACACTTTTTATTCATTAAAAAATAATGTTAAATTCAAGGAACAAAACTCTTCTTCCATAGGAAAATGTTTTTTCTGAAGAAGTTGAATTTTCATGAAATGGGATATATTATTTCAGAAATAACCAAAATTGACGAAATGAAAAGTTTAATGCCACATAAACCACATCAATACCATTTTAAAGTAAAAATTCAATTTACATTAAAGTATCTAAAAATACTTACTTAATCCATCCTCTTCAATGGCTAATCAGTGTAAGGCTTCCGCTTATAGAGCCTGATCCGTAAGTTATCTTATCTAAAAATTAAAAAAATTAAATATTAGAATTTTTTATATTAGGATTAAAAATATTTAGTTAGTTACTTAATACCATAATGTTTAATTTCCACAATAAATATCTGTGGTATAAACAATGGTTTATTGTCACCATAGATAATACATTTTTTAAAAAGCAGTATTTTTTAACATACTAACACAATAGATATCTGTGCTATAAACAGTAGTTTATTATCACCTTAAATAATAATTTTTTAATGAATAAAAAGTGTATTTTCATAATTAATTTACTAAAATAGACATCAGGTCACAAGAAAGTGAAGGAATTAATACTTTGTAATAATTTCTTGTTTGTTATTTTTGCTGAAAATACAGATACTCTGGAGTGACAGTGTATCAAATCACATAATTGTTCACACAAATGGAGGTGAATCTAACTTCTATTCTAAAAAAAAAACCTCAAATAAATTGATATGCAATTAAAGCTTATTAAACAAAGAAGTTTTTATAAAAGTGGGGTATCTGTAAATGATAAAACAAACATCAAGAATTATCCATGATTTAATGAAAAAAAAAAAACAACTCCTTTAAATTACTTGAATAAAATAATTTTTGTGTTACATTTCCTATGAAAGAGAAAATGCCATCACCTAACGAAAAGACAAAATTGGTCTTAACTCTTTTTCCGTTCAAAATCCCATACATCAAATAACATTTTTTGTTGAAAATTGTGTCTTGAATCACCTTCCATAGTTTGGCCATTAGGAACTGATACACCCTGTATATACCATTACATACATTTTTCAGGTTCCTATTCCAGTACCTAAGAAGATTGATGTCATACCACAAGCTTTACCCAAACCACATTCGAGCCCAAAGAATCGAGAGGGTAAATCGAGGAACAGAGACAGTATTGGAGCTACTGATTTATTAGGATTAGGTAAGAATATAAATGTTCAGGGTTTGCATTTGATTATTCATTCAAATGATTTATGAAGTCAAGTAAATATTTTAGTAACTCTTAATTTTTACTTAAAAGCTGTTCCAACATTTTAATATACAAGATAACCTGGGATAAAAAAAGTCTGTATTCAAGAGGGAGATTTGAGGGGGAAAAAAAGCCTATACCACTATTACCCAGGTTCTCTTGGTTTCAGTACTTTCTAAGGAAATACTGTTTCTAGGTCAACGGTTATGCAAAGAGGTAATTTCGTCTAGATAATAATCAACTGCCAAGTTTTTTCCTTAATAAATTAATTGATTAAAGAGTTCCATTCAAACACCATTAGCCTGGCTGCATTAATTAAATTATGAATAAAGACAAATAATTAATCAAATAAAAACATGAAAACTGAGATCAAATACATATATATTGGGTTTGTGAATAAGTTTCCGCCTTTTTGTATCTTTTCAAACCTGGTAAATATCATACCCTCAAAACCATTTTTGCAGGGAATTTTTTTCCAGATAAAACTGCAGCTAAAGAGCATAGAATTCATGTGAAAACTTATGGCAATCATGCTCTATCGGAAAGAATATGCAGATAATGCTTTAATTGCGGAGAGGACGCTGCACTAATTGATAATCGTGCAATATTGACATACCTAAAAAATGAATCAGTGAAAATAACATATGTTTTGGACACATCACACACAATTTTGACATTTTCAAAAAAAATTTTGGGAAGATTTTCATCTAATCTCTATCCTTTCCAACCTCTCAAAACCTCTGGAAAGAATAATACAATTCCAAGTCTCCAACTTTCTTGAAGAATCCAACCACTCCAATCAGGTTTCTGCCCCGGTTACTCCACGCAATCAGCCCTAATTAAAATTATCTGTCCTTGTCCTTGACTTCTTCAAATCCTTTGACTCCATCAACCATTTCATCCTATTTTCAAAACTAAAATCATTATCATTCTCCAACAGTTCCATCTCTTGGTTTACATCTTTCCTATTATTTGATCACGGTAATTTGGTGTGAGCCGAATATTACCCAATGACCTATAATTGATTGGTATTGCGCTGGTTATTGTAAGAATTGGTGTGGACTGTATAGTGTTGGATCACTGAAATTTAATACATGATTAAATTAAACAAATGATTCAGAAAATTGATTATATTCCATATTCTGAATACAAATAAAAGTAATGAAATTTGTGCACTTGTACAGTTTTGTTGTTATTAAAAGATGAAATAAATATTTCTATTTTATTGCTGATGGTGAAATTAAAAATTTGTCATATGGCATTGCCTTGTTGGAAGTGATTTTGCTTCTGATTTAAATTGCATTGTTAATTTGGACTCACTTGCTGTCTGAAATTGAGCCTAATTTCTTGGCCACCTCTTCTTCCTCCCCATATTTTCTCCATCAGGCTGTTTTCTTTGGGTTTAGCTACTCATTCTGTTTCCTTTGCAATTTCTGGTGAAAAAAAATTACAGTGTGCACACTTCACCAATGAAATTTGATTAACTGTACAGGAATAGTTTTCAGCAAAGTGGATGCCAATAAAATGGTGGTGAAGTTCAGAATTATATAGGATTGTTTTCATTTTTTTTTTTGTGTGTGTGTGTTTCAGCGGTTGATCCCTGAACATCTATCTCAACGTTTCCATCCCTAATCTTCCGCTTTCTTCTTATCTTTCTCTGTCCTCAAGAGTTGCTCAGTGTTCTAGCATTTCTCCACTTCTTTTAATGCCTACATAAACAATCTTCATAAATCAATCCTTAATTTTTCTCATCACCTTTATGCTGACGATTCCTAAATCTATTTACCTTTCACTCCCTCTGAGTTATTTGTAGCATTTGTCGAGATTAAGATTGAATTGTTTGTCAAGCAGACCTAGATCGAATCAGTGCCTGGGAAAGCCTAAACGAATTAAGGTTAAATGCTTCAAAAACTCAGGCCATTGTCATTGGTTCCAAGCCCCTTCTCCAATCCAATCCCAACTTTCTCACACTATACCTAAATGACCTACCCATTGCTTTCTACTCCTCTGTTAAAAACTTTGAACTTTTTCATTGATCGAACCCTTTCCTGGAATTACAACATTTCCCAAATCACTCGATGATCAATTTCCACTCTCAAATTTTTCCATTGCTACCGCCATCTCCTTTGTGAATCCTGTAGGCTCTTAGTTTTTTTCTCTTATCTTCCCCCACTTTGACTGGGGCTATGTGGTGTATAGAGGTCTCTCGGTGACAGACTGAAGAAACTCATGAATAGCTTTGTCAGAGGGACCCCGAGACGTTCCCATATCTCCCACCATTGCGCTGAGTTAGGTTAGCTTTTCCCTTCCTTCCATAGACAATATTTCCTAGGCACATTTCATTATCAGATTATCAACACTTAATACCATTCCTATGCTTATGATCTTCTCTAATTCAAGTCCTCTGTCCACTATCTTATCATAAGATCCTGACCTTCTGACCTTTATACTCTTTTTCACAGATCTGCCTCTTACCAAAACTCCTTTTTTGCCTGCTCCGCTAATTTCTGGAATTCCCCCCCTTTAAAACTTGTCTTACTATTCCAATTCCTAATTTAAAAAAACAGTTAGAAAATGGCTAACCAGTTGTTAAGTTTCATTGCCTTGGTTAAAAAATCATTGTTAACTATTTAAATATATATATATATATATATATATATATATATATATTCATGTGTGTGTGTGTGTCTTTCTTTCCTTCTCATGAACTTGTGTACATTCTTACGTTTACTTATCAACTTGTACATATATTTTTCATACCATGTCTTTTCTGTTCTGCAAGATATCTGTGCCCTTAAAGTTGTTTAATTTATTTATTTTCTCACTATTTTTGTTATAATAGTTTATAAATTTATTTCTTTAGTTTTTCTTTACATTAGTTATTTTACTTTGTGCTCATCTAATAGAGGAATTATTTTTTATTTATTGCTTTTCTTCCTATCATATTTATTTCTTTTTTTAGTTAAACAGTGATTATTTTGTTTCATTTCTTATTTGTATTCTATATAGTTCTAAGCATTTTGTATATAGTTAGATTTTGTTTGTATATTTTGTTAGTTTATATAAGGTATTTTACTTATTTAATGTAGTTCCCTTGGCTAGAATTATTCTTTTGTTCTGTAACATTTTGTTATTTTAAGAGGACTTTGTCAGAGGACTGCAGTGGTCGAGTGAGTTAAGGCACCTGCAAAAATAAATTCAACATGTAAATGTTTTTGTTTCAATTTTTATCGAAACCGAAAAGTCATGAGTTCAAATTCTGTTCACAGGAACAAAAAAGATAAAAATTAATAATAAATAAAAATTTAAATAATAAAAATTGCAAGTGCTACCTGATTACTTCGGCCACTATGGCGCTGGTTTGATTCCCGCCAGAGTTCACATACACAGGGGCACCTTCCCCCTCCCCCCACATCCCTATAAATTGCATATTGTTGTGTTCCTTGTAACTATTTAAAAAAAAAAAAAACAATATTCCCACAAAAAAAAAGGAATTAGTGTTTTGGTCACTGAGAATCAGCATTTGGCTTAATTTCATAATAATTGGTCTTTTATTAAAGCTGTATAGGCAGAGAATAATAAAATATTAAAAAATAATTGGCTTAGGCAATAAAAAACACCAGTAAAATCAATTTTTTTAACAAAAAAATTTCAAGTTGAAAATCAAGCATCGTTTGATTATTTTCGCAATTTAAAACAAAGTTGTTTTCACCATAATAAACCTCGTTTACTTCTTCCAGACCTGCTGACTTGCCACTTGTTGAACAAATCTTTCATTGCTGATAAAATGGTCTTCACCATAATAAACCTGCATCGTCCGCTTAATATTACCCAAACTGCTCCAGCATTTGAGCCCCTTTTAGCAGCATCTTGAAATATTCTGTTCATCTATCTACTATATATTCGTTTAGCCATATAATGGATACGCATCTTTGTTTTATTTTCTGAGATTTTAACACTTCCTTTCTCGTTCACTTAATGTATTTTTCCAATTTTTGGTTTCAATTTCACGTTTTCCCTCATTTTGAGACCAAATACTAACAATCAGTTCCGGTCACCTAGAAGAACTTATAGCTTCACCCTTTCTATCATTCTTTGTGCAGAGAGGATAATGTATTCAATATTAAAATTTCCTATTTTTTTATATGGTTCAACTTCCAATCAAAATAAAGGAAATAAAAATTAATTTTTTTATTAGTGGTGTAAGAGTTTTACTAAACAACCTATCAACTACTCATTATATTTAGTTCAGATTAGATATATATTATTTAAGTTTATAAAGCAGGTATTAATATGACTCATTTCCAGGGAAGTATATCCAATTTAAATTACCTCTAAGAATGAGTAAATATACAAAATAAAGTGTTAAATTGCAAACATTAAATAAAAAATTCAAGATATTCAGCAAAGTATTTTAGAATTAAGTTTTATTATTATAATTATATCATTTTTACAATAGAGGACTTCTTAAATGACCTCCATATAGAATAAAAGAAATTGAATTTTTAAAAATAAATAATATAATAAATTTTAAAAAAAGTTTAATTTTTTGCAATTAAATTATTGCATTAATATTTGTTCGTTAATAAAATCAATATAATGTACCAAAAACGTTATTATATTACTATAATTAAGCCGTTTATGAGTACTGAATGGTATGGTAGAGGCCTGTAGGCACCAGTACGCCAGTACCACTTTTCTGCCGCTTAAGTGCATTTTCTACGAAACTGCTTCAAATATTTTATTAAGTAATCAGTGTTTTAGAAAGAGAAGTGTGTGATTTCAGCACGTTTTGTGTTATTGTTGGCCGTTTAATGACAAATGATGCTTGATTTTCAACTTGAAATTTTTTTGTTAAAAAATGGAATTTACTGGTATTTTTTATTTACTAAGCCAATTATTTTTTCATGTTTTATTATTCTCTTGACTATCCAGCTTTAATAAAAGACCAACTATTACAAAATTAAGCCAAATGCTGATTCTCAGTGACCAAAAACTAACTGAATTCAAAGTCATCAGTCCGCCATTTTGGGGCAATGCGTTGACTTTTTTGTGTGAACATAGGCTTATTTTAAAATAAATAGTTACAAGAAACACAACAATATTCAATTTATAGGGATGTGGGGGAGGGGTTGCAGGGTAAGGGGTTCTGGTCCATAGACTAACAGGGAGGTGAGCGACCCCTATGTCTTACACCATATCTTCTTGTCCTCCAGGTTGGGGGGGGGGGGGTTGGGCATAGGGTTAATAATCCTATCCTGGAAAAAACATCTTATTACAAAACCAAAACTAAGTTTTTCTTTTTCTTCACTTCCTCACCTTTTAGGAGCCACAATGAGGATCTTTACCCCGAAGAGGTTGAAAAACCTGATATACTGGATGTAAAAATTGCTATCGAAAGGCTCAAAACAAGAAAGCCCCCAGGGATAGACAACCTACCATCAGAACTGTTTAAAGATGGGGGAGATGACTTGAGAGCATAGGTACTACTACTAATCCAGAAAGTATGGGAAGAGGAAAGGATACCTGACGCTTGGAATACATGCCTAATCTGTCCTATCTTAAAGAAAGATTCCATGTATGAGTGTACTAATTACAGAGGCATAGCACTCCTTCCAGTTGCCTACAAGATAATGACCAATATCCTTTTAAAGTGGATATATCCATATTACAAAAATATAATTGGCAACCACCAAGCTCGATTCAGAAAAGGAAGGAGCATGCTATTCTAATCTTTATCCTAAAACAAGTACTCGAAAAACAAAGAAAATTCATGGAATTTTTAATGAAAAAGTCAGATAAAAATTGTTAAAGTGAGGAGACTTTTTTAGTATGTAAATATTTTTTTCTAATTGGAAAGAAATATACAGTAGATATTGTTTTTAATGACCTTGAAGTGACCGGAAAAACTTTGTGGGTATAGCTGATCTTCGTTATAACATACAATTATTATAATGACCACAGTCGTTATATTAAAATTAAACAGGGATGATGAATAAAATTTAAGCAAATTGGACTGAAAACTGTGGCTTTTTGATAAAGGACATACCAATACTATTTACTATCTATTACTATTTAATATATATTTCTATGGACATATTTTTTTTTTTTTTTTTTTTTATAAAGTAATGAACTTCTTAACGGCAACTCCTCGGTAAGTCCATTGGAACATTTTTCTACCTTAAAATGTAGAGTCCAACCGGCCATCAACTTGTTGAAAAATTGTGTTTCACGACATTGAATATGTCAGCGTCATGATAGTTCTCATGAAATATCAGCTAAACCATTGAAAACCGCCATTCGTTGGTTAATTGAAGGAGAACACTGGCAACTTCACAGTTAATTTTTTTAAAAACAGCATCATTAGGTCAGTCAATGAGTACTAAAAAAGCTGTTTATGGCACTAAAGGAACAAAATTATGTATGAGGAACTACATTAAAATAAGAATCGCCCATTGTCGTATTCTAAAATAAAATTCAAACAAAAATGCTTATCAAGTCTGAAAAATGCTTCCTCTATAACATTATTATTATAAGCATTGTTATTTAAAGGACTGGCTTTTTTTTCTACTGAATTCATTTTATAGTCCATTTCCTTTGATGTATAATAAATAAATTTATTTATAAATTATTCATTTTTAATATTTGTGTCCCCATACATATTAGTCAGGCAAAACTATCATTAAATAGAGAAAACTCAGGAAATTTTATTTTAACAGTCTGGTTGCCGCCCTGTTGGCAAATCCTACAAATCATTTTGCTGCTTCTTTCCAATATTTTGTTATTACAGACAATTTTTTTTTTTTTTTTTTTTTTTGGAAGATCTTGTTATTTATCAAGAAATGGCCTAATAGTTAAACAGTAGTTTGTTTTCGTCATTCTTTTTTTAATTTTTGTTTATAATGCATAAATGTAGTATTTTATCTTCTGGAAAAATATTCAAGTGCCTTTTTATTTATTTATTTTTTTTCTGGATAAACTTAGATACACCTACATCAGATATGCCATCAAATAGTGATGATGTTTTTACCAACTTTTTATCTGCTGCTCCTGTATCTAAAAGATCACAAGAAGAAGAGAGCTTCTTTAACCAAAGTCTCAGTCCTCCTGCAACATCATCTAACAGTACTAACACTACTTCCAGTCAAGGAACTGTCTCATCTGGAAAACTTACAACTGATTCCATCCTGGCTTTATATGCGAAGGGACCGCCAATTCCTGTCAACAATTTTGGTATAGTTTATTTACTTTTTATTAAAATATATAGTTTTCCTTGACAACATTTTGATTACACAGACCTACTTGAGAAACTTGTTTTGGTGCCTAGGATTTTAGAACTGATGTTACATATTTTAGAGTGCTTAATTAAGCATGAAATCAATTTTTCTTTATCAGCTCTACTTTTTTAGATATATAACCTTATCTATCAATGTTTTTTCTAATAAGTATATTCAAGTATGGTCATTTATTGTACCATCTGCCATTCAGTTAGTTTCTGGAAAAATACACTAGTATAAATAAGTATTGTCTGGTCAATAATCGACAATTTTTATTACCTAACCAATAAAACTTCTTTACAAAAATTTTTTTTTGACATGTATATCCCTCCACACCATGGGAACAGCAAAACGCATTGAACAACCTTTCTTGTTCAACCATTCTCTTAAGGTTACGCTACATGTGATGCAGTAGATGTGTGGGGCCACAGTTCATTTTGATCACCAACCATCACCCCAAAATACTTGTGCTATGCTGGTGATCATCTGAGTGATAGGATGTTTTTAACTTGCAAAGGTTACTTCCCTAAACATTGGTAACACACTTCCTGAGCATTGTAACTTCACCAAAACTACTGGGTTATCACGACAAAATCGTTGAAAGAATGCCTGAAGCAACAAAAATCATGTCAAAAGTAACTCGTAATGTAAACACTGCATACAACTGTCAGCAAAATGGTTCTGTGATTCACAGCTAGTCGTTTCCCGCAATTCACAGACAAATTAATCCTACCAACACAGGAGCAGGAAATTTACCCATATTACACAAAAAGTAACTATTATGGGTCATAAATATTCAGGATGCAGTCAATATAAATTTTTTTTTTAGTGCCGACGTTTCAATCCAAACATGTGGGTCATCAGGAGTGAGCAATGCTCGAACCATGTCCTGATAACCCACATGCTTGGGTTGAAACGTCGGCACTAATAAAAAAATTTTATGATGACTGTGTCCTGAATATTTATTACCCATGATATGTAGAACAGTCGACTAGATTCCTTCAATACTTAATTAAAAAGTAACTATATCTTTGTAACTAGAGCTAACTGATGATTTTTATGTGGAAATTCGAATTTCTCACACCATAAAACATTGTATGAGGCTGGTTTCAAGTGAGATACAATATCAATTTAGAGCATTGTAATCAAAGTCTAGTGGTACTGGTTCTTATCCTGCCTGGGTGGGTGGTTTTCTTAATTTTGTGGCAAACCCATGGAATAAATTTCAACCTTTATACTCTAGTTAAAAGAATTTTGATTATACCTCCAGAATAACCTACCTGTATTCCAGAAATGTTGAGGCAGAGGATAATCAAAAAAAAAAAAATAGGTTATATTTTAGATCGGAAATAAAATTAATTCCAATAAAGAACTTGCATTAATAATCCTGATGTGGTTTGCTACTTATGCGGAGAATATTGATTAAAGCTTCTGAATTACTGCCTTCCAGATTGAATGACAAAGTTACCTGAACCAGGAACCAAAATTACCTTTTACCATTTGCGATAAAAGGATCTGCTACCCTAAAAATATCATAGTAGTTTAAATTCTCAGTTAAGCTTTTTAATTTGGTCAATAGATTTAAATTCATATAGTTTAGCATACATTTCATTACCTAAAAACTAGAACTCCCAGATAAAAACTAATGTTATATTTAAATTCAGGGTATCTAATTAGTATAAAATCAGCTCCAAATATCCTGGCACCAAAATCATTTTTTTCATGTGGCATAAATTAAGAAACTTTTTTATCTTATTAATGAAAAATTCTTTTTTTTTTCACAGTCCAGCCTCCACAACAACAGTTTCCCTACACATCATCTCAAAATCAACCTTTGCCTGTGAGTTGAATTCAGTATTTATTATATTCTTATGTTTTTCAGGCTATTTTGATAAATAATAACATAACGTTTATTATTTTTAACAATTTATTAATATTTTACTATTTTTACTTTCACTTACCCATATATGAAATACATAGTAAAGGAGGAAAGTATTGCAATCGTGAAAATTTTTGAATCCGTTGAAAATTTGTTTTCAATGGAAATACCTGTTTTGAGGTTCCCTGAGTCCAAATAACCAAGTCTCGCAAAATGGTCTGTGTGTGTGAACAGTCTAGCTCAAAAACAAAAAGTCGTACAAAAATGAAATAGCATATTTAAGGTTTTTATATGCTAGGGATGTTATAGCAACTTTTTCGGCAAAATCGGCTAACCTGAAGTGGCACTTTATATAATGGACTAAACACATTTTTACGATTTTCCCGAAAACAGCAATAACGATTTTGATTAAATTCATCATATCAGTGTAAAATTAAGGAGTTTTAGATAAAATGTAATTTTTATTCTGATTGATGTTCTCTAACAGGGCTTAAATGGGTTCAATATTAGCTTCCCCTAAATTACCTTCAATTTTTCTTATTTGAAACAATTGACCACTTCACATTAATCTCTAGTATAAAAGATAGTTAAATATAAAATATGAAAGAATTTGATAATTAACTTGAGGAGAAATAAGAGATCATAACGGAGAACAGTTGTAAATGACTAACCAAAAGAGAACAAGCGCACCCAAACTTGCCCGAAAGATTAAAACATGCTTCCGTACATATGAGAATAATACAATAAGGACTCCAATAATATTATATAAATATACATATGTGGTTTTCTTAAATGCTATTGTTGGTATAATTAAATATTTAATTGTATAGATTTTTTTCGGTTGGCTCTACAGACCTTGTAGATTTTTGGTCGCCTGAACTACCCTACTCCACCTCTGCCTATCTTGGGTTACTGCTTTCCCATGCTGCGGCATGAAGCTCAGCCGTATCTTTGTTTATCCTATCATTCCATCTGGTTTTTGGCCTCCCACGTGGTCTCTTGCCTACTACTCAGGCATTCATTGTCGTGTAAAGGCGTCCTGATGGATTACTACGAGCTACATGCCCTGCCTATCTTAACCTCCTTGCCTTCATGTCATGAGATATTGACTGACGAGTTTCTTTCAGAAGTTCTTTATTGTTTCTTATCCTCCATGTGTCAAGGTTCTGGTCCCATATAGGTCCTGTTATCCTACCTGCAACAGAACTTTTAGTAGTAGAACTTTTCTTTCGAATCTCTCAATTCTGGCTTCTAATGTGCCGGTTAGAGCCCAGGTTTCACAACCATACAGCAGAACTGGCTTAATCACGGCGGTGTATACCCTTATTTTGAGATTTATGGATTTCAGTACCTTTGAAAGAGTGAAGAAAGATCTGTTCGCACTTGTTGTTCGCTGGTCTATCTCTGTTAGTTGACCATTTATTGAGGTAGGTTATTGTGGAGCCGAGGTATTTGAATCTGCCTACTTTCTGGAATGACTTAGAGTCCACGCAGATCATGTTATCAGGGTGGATATTTCGGCTAACTGTCATGTATTTTGTTTTATCTACATTGACCTGTAGTCCGATTTGCTCTGCTTTTTTTAATAGAGTCCGAGCGAGTCTCTCAATATCTCTTGATTACTTCTGAGGACAGCTATATCATCGGCATATGCTAGGATTTTATGTTTCATTCCAGCGTGCACCCCTCCATCTTTGCGTGATATTATTCTTATTACTTTCTCTAGTGCTAAGTTGAACAGCATCGGCGAGAGTCCATCCCTCAAACCCGTTCCAACTTCAAAGGCTTCAGATACTCCTCCTTGTATTAGTACCCTGCATTTAGGATCATTTGTACTCGCCTTCGTCAACCTCACTAATTTCACGGGAGCACCCAGCTCAGTCATGATCTTCCAGAGACAGTTTCTATCAATGGAGTCATAGGCTGATTTGAAGTCGACAAATAATGCGTGTATGTCCTGATTTACTTCCCATCGTTTTTTAAGTACTTGTTTTAGGATGAATATCTGATCTAGCGTACTCCTCCCTCTCCTGAATCCTGTTTGATGGTCGCCTATTATGTTTTCATAATACGGATATATCCAATTTAGCAGAATATTAATCATTATTTTATAGGCGACCGGAAGAAGTGCTATACCTCTCTAATTGCCACATTCATACATGGAGCCCTTCTTAAGGATAGGACAGATCAATCCTGTGTTCCATACTTCCGGTATCCGTTCCTTCTCTCATATCTTCTGGATTAGATGTAACAGCTTGGCTCTGAATTCTTCTCCCCCATCCTTGAACAATTCTGATGGTAGGTTGTCTATCCCTGGAGCCTTTCTTCTTTTAAGCCTGCCGATAGCTATTTCCACATCCAGAATATCTGGTTTTTCAACCTCAAGTGGGTCGATGTCCTCAGTGTGGTCCATGTCTTCTTCGTTTGTGGGGTGCCCTTGATTGAGCAGCTGCTGGAAGTGTTCCTTCCAGATGCTTAGGATCTTTTCCTTTTGATGCCATCAATGTGCCATCCTTCCCTCGCATTTGTGTATTTCTTGCTTTATATCCTACCCTTTCTTTCCTGATATCTGCGAAGAATTCGCATATATTTCCAGCCTGCCAATTTTCCTCAATAGTTTGTAATCTTTCTTTGAGGAATTCTCTTTTGGCTGTTCTTATTATTTTGTTTGTCTCTTTCCTGGCAGCTGTGTATTTGTCATAGCTTAATCAGTTTGTAAGCCGAGAACTTATCTTCTTACTTTTCTTCTTTCTTCCACTGCCTTTTTGCATGCTTCTGTGGACCATTTCTTGGCTTTTCTTTTTTCCTGAATCCCTATTACTTCCATAGATGTTTGTTTTAGCCATAACTCTAGTGCCTCCCAGTGTTGGTCAACCGTGAGACCTTCCGAGTTCAAGTGTTCGAATTTATTTTTCAGCTCAATTTGAAATTCAGCTTGTACTATAGGGTTTTTCAAATTACGGACTTCGTACCTTTTTCTTTCCACTTGGTTCCCAATTCGGTGGATTAGCTTCAGCCTCTGACTGAGTTTGATTCCAATCAGAGTATGGTCCGAATCACAGTCTGCTCCACGATAACTCCTTATGTCTTGTATGGAGCTTTGATGCCTCTTGTCTATCAGCACATGGTCGATTTGGCTTTTTGCTCCTTTAGGACTTACCCAGGTATACTTATGTATGTCCTTGTGCAGGAACATCGTACTGCTTACTACTAGACCTTTAGCTGCTGCCAGACTAATGCATCTCACTCCATTGTCATTGCTAGTTTCATGGAGACTTTGGCCTCCGATGATGGGCTTAAATTGGGTTTCTTGACCTATCTTGGTATTGAAGTCTCCCATGACTAATTTTATATCATATTTTGGAGCCTGGTCCACAACTTTTCTAACTGATCGTAGAAGTCGTCCTTCACCTCATCCTCTTTTTCTTTGGTTGTGCATACACGTTAATAATCGTGATATTAAACCAACGACCTCTTACGCGCAGCACACTTATCCTTTCATTAACTGGGGTGAAGTTTATTACTGACTTCCTTGCGACCGGATTAACTATAAATCCAGTGCCAGCTGTTCCATTTTTGTCGTTTCTCCTGGTGTTCAGCAGTGTGTAGCTGTCTATAGTGGTTTCCCCACCATCTGGCCTACCTTACCTCTTGAATGGCTGTTAACGGTATGTTGTACCTTTTTACTTCATTAACTACCGTTTGGGCGGCTCCTGGTCTTTATAAGCTCCGAACATTCCATGATCCAATATGGAGTCCGTTATACAAAGCCGGAGTCGTTACCATGTTAAGACAATCAGATTTTCCGAGGCTGGTTTTAGGTTTCTTAATATGGTGTTTTTTGACGGGATAAGGTTATTAGCCCTATGCCCAACCCTCAACCCCCAACCTGGAGGACCAGGAGCTATGTCTACCACAGGGTCACTCACCTCCCTGGGGTGTGAGTTGCCTCCAGTAGGCTGATGGGTCTCTCATACCTGAGAGGAGGGGAAGAAATCTCGGGCAGCATTTCTTTCCGTGTTGGATGGTCACCCATCCAAGTACTGACCACGCTCGACGTTACTTAACTTTGATTACCTATTGCAAGCACCTTAGCCCATACGGCTACTCCGGCCCCCCTAAATTGTATAGATTACAGTGATATAAATATTAAAATTTGTATATAAAAGGGTACTTATGCAAATAAAAAAATACCCACAATGAAATATAAATAAATAAAGCGGCTATAATTTTTACTTTCACTTCTCCTTTGTCTGAAAATACTTATTTCTGCTAAGAAGAGGGTAGTAAGTGAAAGTTGTGTGATACGCTCACCGCACCAGATTTTTAATTACTGCTCTTACCAAGGGCCTGGTTAGACATGGAGCCAGGGTCTAAAAAGGGACCTCATTGTGGGTAAAGGTTTAAATAGAAATTACGAAAGTTTTAAAACAAAAGAACATTGTCTGCAAGGTTTGTTAGTGTTAAAAATTAAAGCAATTAAAAAATTGCTAATGTGGGCCACTAAGGGAAAACTTTTTACAGCCAAAAAAAAAACAAATTTTTTTCCCTTATAACTTCTGAACAGTGCATCAAAGCGAAAAACGTACTCTTTAAGAAATAAAAGATCATTAAATTGTGCATTAAATGGGCACATAAACTTAATAATTTTGCTATGTGGTATGGTAGAAAACCACGGTCGACAAATGTTGATTTTTATTAAATTTGTCAAAAACTGAGCTAATTACTGTAAATGGTCCTGCAGCTTGGAAATGAATTCTCTAAGTTGAGTTGAGTGTCAACTTCTGCGTCCACTGAGTAAACACTATTGATATAGGTCAATTATTTCTCTCTAATCTAATTTTCTGAAATTCTTTTTTTTTTTTTTTGACACCATGTTTTCCAAAATCCTTCACTGCTGAGAGGTGGATAAGAGGTCTATACTGCATATAGCTGATTCTAAAAAATAATTCAATAGAATA